ATTGGAAAGGATCAAAAGCTGATTGGAAGAAAGTTATGCTGGCTTACCGTGCTGCTATTCCTATGTTCTATTGGCTTCTTGCAGAGGAATTTAAATTTGAACTCCTCATGATTGGATACGGAAACCATGTCAAGTATTACGTTTTAGCATTCTTTGGTGACCTTCTACAGCATGCTCGAGTCCATTTTGAATCTTGTATGCATACGGCTGCATTTTTCTACTTTCCACGAGCAGACGCAATTGATCATTTTGTCAGAGTGTATGTCAAGAGCATTCTCTTTCTGAAAGGAGAAGATTGGAAGGATGAAGCAGCTGTAGAGCGTGATTACCATCGAGTTCGTGACTACTTTAGTTTTGCAGACTTTACAATGATTCCTTGTGAGTGCATTCAATTGAAGGACGATGAAACGCATCAAGATGGTGCGACATTTGTATTGTATTCTTCAATTACAGCTTTAGCTAAGTTTTTGGGAACAACTCCTAGCAATGTCCAAAAGCATTTGGCCAGGTTAGATTCATATCGTGGGGTAATTAAGCGTGGAGATGAAACATTCTTTGTACGAACTGTTGAATCAAACGAAGATTTTCCTAGGCTCTGTAAACATATAAAATATGAAACAGTTGTGGTGCAAGAAGTGGAACTGTCTTGGGTAACTGGAGAGGGAAAGCTGACAAAGATTGGGGAAATGAAATCGTTTCCATATGTTGCAAAGGCAGCAAGCTTCTTGGTAGAGGAGAATGGAGAAGAATGTACAAGTGCAAATAGAAAAAAGTATGAGAAGGCCATTAGAAGAAGAATTCATGAAAAGGAGGATATGTCAACAAAAGACACAATTCCGCCTAGAAAAGACCCAAAATGGATTGTTGGAAGATCCTTTGAGGAAGTAGAGTTCAACATTGAAGATGTTGTTTTTGAATTGAGTCAACGCAAAGTAGCAAATCGTGTAAGGTAATTCATATTAGTTTACTCAATACCATCAAGCTTCTTCTTGATCTCCATCCAAATTGCCTTCTTTCTTTTATCCGCATAAACCTCCTTCTCTATCCCAAAAAGCTCACAAATCTCTTTCAATTCGTCGATAGATGGACGATATCCATCTCCAACCAGTGATTCAACCACTCTCCAATTCGACTTTACATAGTTCTTTCTCAATTCTTTCACTTTTTCTTCGGATAAACCGTAACATGCAAACAGTTCTTCTCCTTTTTTAATATCGCGAGTTGCAAGCAGTTTTGTTCCAATAAACTGTACACATAATTCCAATGCTTCCGCTTGTGCTTCCAATTGGATTCTTTCTTGTTCCAGTCTAGTTAATTCATTTTCCACAGCTATACACAGTTTCTCTTGTTGTTCAACCTCAAGCCATTCTTGCTCTTGCAGTCTCCCCATTTCTTCCTACTCCTCTGTTGCAAGTCTTTCATGTTCCATAACCTCCATACGTAAACGCTCTTCTTTTTCTTACTCTCTTATTCTACACAATCTTTCTTGTTCTTCTTCCATAACCATTAAAAGGACCAATGTTGACTATGCCTGAGTTTCTCCAAAGGACTGTGATCTGATTCTCCCCAGTAACGGCACAGCAGACTAATTCACATCTAGCCGTCTCTTGATCAAATAATCTCCGAACACCTCTACAATAATTTTCAAATCCCTCAAGTGTAACCTGAGGATCAGAAAATACAAACTTCTCACTGAAGAACTCTGGCCGACCTTTTCCCGTCACAAACCATTCATTCTCAATCAATCCGTCATTGATAGCATCGGCCAATTGATACATGTTGAGCTCTCGATTCTTTGATATATTCCATGGTATTGATGCTAGAGGATCGGTATCAGATGCTGCATCTTTGACAAATCTATTTGCAAATGCAATAGTATCTGATTTTGCCGTGACACCGTTTTCATTTTCCGGTGTTGCAGATGCAATAGATGGATATACACATGCCGAGTTGATGATGGAGACCGCTATTTTTTGAAATGTCTGTCTTCTGTTTATGTTATTTTGACTATCTTCATCTCTAAGCATGGACAATGGAAGTGAACTTGCTTTTGTCTGAAGAAAAGGACGCCTCGAATAAGAGGAAGAAAATGCAACTATAGCATGAAGTTGAAGTAATAAAATTGTAACAAACAAACCCACAGTGAAATTGAAAAACCTAGCTGCCATTTTACTTGAACTTCAATCTACGTTTTGCATCTAGTCTACAATCAGCAACAATGTTCAACTATCAACTATCTACGAAAAGTGCTGGGTGTTGGGTTAAACAAGACAAGCTTGTACGTACTTACTTTGAAGTTTACCATCATCGATTTCCCTTAAGACATGATCTTGCTTGATAACATTTTTCCTTGCTTCTCATAATTGGTTGACATTACTACATTACTCTTTAACATTTTTCCTTGCTTCTCATAATTTATTGACGTCATGTATGATTGTTTCCCTTTTCTTTTCTGCGTCATTCATAATCATCGTTTTGGTTCCCGTCTGTCAAGGACCAGTTTTTTCGCCAGTTTTTTCTAGGGAGGCCCATTATTGACAGAAAGGTCGCCAGTTTTGTAAGCCAGTTTTTACACCAGTTTTCTGTTCTCGGTCATCCACCAGTCGTGTATCTGCCAGAGTTTTCGTGTTGTTCTGCTCTATCATCAAACACCACGACGAGTTCTTGAGTTCATTAGGCTTTTGAGCGAATACTACCTTCAAATCGAGTGTAGACTTCATGCGCTATTGTAATGATAGAAATGAAGTGTTTTGTATTGCATCCTATGTTTTGTATTGCTATAGTTATGAATACGGAAGGTGCGTGTGGTAGTATTTTGTTGATTATCGTTGTGCAGTGCATACACATTACACATGTATTGAAGAAGGGCATCACGGAGAATTATCAGGCCAATTTAGAAAAACCGGAAATCAATAATTGTCCGCGAAAAAACTGGGCCAGTTTTAAAAAATAGGGTCACCGATATCGTCCCAGTTTTTTTGAATGGCTACGAAACGGGTTATGACAGAACGGGTCTGACTTGTCAATTATTTCCGCCAAGGGCAATAGGGGAAATGGGAAGCAGCACTTTCCTTTTCAATCGTAATGTACAAGGTTTCCAGCAAGACAACAAAGAACCATTCACAATTTTAATTATTACCAACACCACAAAAATTCTTATAAGTACTAATACCCTATTAACATACACCATGATGAAAAGTTCTGTTGATCAGAGCAATAATTTTGCAGCATCATATAATGGTCAATTCTTATCGACCATTCCTCGACCACAACAAGAACTACACAACCAGCAGCAAGGAACGCAGAATCTCCTATTTCAAGTCCCTTCTATTTGTAGTTCTTCATCCTCATTAAATGGTCCCAAAAGCGTGGTTAGGAGAAACATGAAGACATTGGGATCATTCAACAAGAAGGTAAATCCCGACTTGCAACATGAACAACTAGTCTTGGATGAGCACCACCACAACGAACCACGAAGAAGAATACACCAGAGAAACGACACTGTACACTTTATTCCAATGGAAGACGAGAAGGACGTAAAAGAGAGCACATGTCCTCAACAAACGCGGCAGCTCGATTGGAACAACCATATTCCTATCTTGAACATGACAAAGAGCATAATGTCTGATTCAAGTAGTTCCTTTGGGCGTAATACAAAAAGTGCTTTCGAGGAGCAGGGTACATCTACATTCTCTACAAGTCCTATTGTTCTCTCTTTACTTGAGCTTGATGAGGCAGAACAAAATGCTGGGTCTATCTCTGTTATAAATAAGATTACTGAAGAATATTCAAGCAAGATCTGCGCAGCATCATTACTGTTCAATAATGGTGCACACGACGTTTGGAATTGCAATTACTTCTCTGCTAGAACTCATTTCAATCAAGCCCTCGCTCTTTTCCTCGACATAGATTACAACACCATTGACTTTATTCCAAACTTTGGAATTAGAAAACAAGTTTTCACGACGATAGCATTACTAACGTCCATAACGTTGCTCAACCGAGGTCATATAGAATGGTATCTCAATAACATTGACGAGAGCATCAACTTCTACCATCAATGTTATGCATGTTTGAACAAGCTACACTTAATTCATACCTATACAACAAAGGGGTCTTCATCTTCAAAACAAACCATTGAAGAAACTCTTTTCTTTATTAAATATGTCACAGCTTCATGTTTACATTGCATTGGTACGGTTATTTTGAACACGAAATTATTCAACTCCTCACTTGAAGGTTCATCCAAGACCCAAATACACAACGAGGGAGATGTATGCCTAAAATACCTTGAATCGGCACTTGCTATGTTTGAAGATCTAGAATCAGGTGAAGATATTGGAAGTACGTCCATTACTGCTCATACTGCAACAGTAATGAGTAACATAGGTAGAGTTTACCTAATCTTTGGAGACTTGGAAAAGGCTCTCTATTATAGCGAAGGTTGTCTTGGAAGAAGATTACTTACTTTACCGGCGTGACCATCCCTTCCTTCAAAGTAGCTCAAACGATGCGATCTCTAGGAGAAATTCATAAGCGCTAGGACAACAGTACAAGCTACATTTTTGTAGTATGATGTTGCAGGATACCTATTAGCTTGTGATATATCTGCTAGAACCAACATCGTTAATGCATTCACCAGCCTTGTTTACCACATTAATTAATATGAAAAAGTATTTCAAGCTGTAACATTACCCCGAGATTCTTGTAACTAAGGTTTTCATGATACCTCTCCTCGAAAGTAAAAAATAAAGTGCAAGAATCGAAAATCAATACATCATCAACAATTTGAATCTATCCTTTTCTTTATTTGAGAAGTAATTTCATATTTTTTAACATTATAAATCGTGATACAATAGTTATGGAACCAATTCATCCATTCAAAACTTTCATGTTTTTATCATACATCATACCTGATTCTTAATTTTGATGAAGTACTTGTAAACCTTTTGACTACTAGATATTGTATAAGCACGCAAAATTTTACCGCATTGGCATGCGCCCAAGTAGCTCAGTTGGTTAGAGCACATCATTAGTAATGATGAGGTCGGTAGTTCGACTCTGCCCTTGGGCTTTTTTTTTCGTTAGCTTTTACTGCTTTTTACTTCGTATTACATCTTTGCAAAATGTAGTCAGTGTGATGATACATTTTGTTTTTTCATGTATCGTACATATGAATATGCGCAGATTGTAGAATGTTCATAAAATCGGATAACAAACATGGAAAGATTTCCCTGCCATTTTATGCTCTTTTCGGGCAATGTTGCGACGTTCAATTCCCGAGAGTTATTATTTTCATTTTCATTTTCATTTTCATTTGTATTTTATTATTGAAAGTGTTTTGTGTATTTTTATTTGAGATTTATCTTTATATAAAATCATGTAGCATGCTTTTGATTTTTTTTTTGGATATCGACAAATATGATTCAAGCACATACTCTTCGTAACAGCCCTACCACTGCAACTCTAGTAATTACTAAAATATGTATCATAGTAACAAATAATAGAGTGTACTTTTGAACAAAAAGTTTATATGTTGTTCATGTTTTATTTTTTCCCTCTAGTCTATTGAATATTAGAATATAAATGTTTTCAACTTTCTACTTCATTCACATCTTCCCTACAATTATTCTCATGTAAATCCATTGGTTTTGCCATATCATTTTCACTACAGACCTTATTGTCAGTAGATTCGTTTACATTCTCTCCAATGGTTGATAAATTGTCGGCATTGTCTTCAGCTGCACCCATCTCAACAACAACTGCTGAAGCGCATTTATCAGTACTTGTTTCGTCGTGTTCAACAACCTCTTCAGAAGAAAGGACCACATTTCCAGACATGGATTCCTCGCCTATTTCACTCTCCTTCTTATCAGTACTCAAAATATCAGAAACTTCTTCATCTTCCTCAGTAGACTTTACTTCTACGGTCGAATCTTGAACAACATTCTTTGTAGTGGTAGAATGATCTTCAACATTATGATTTTCTATAAGTGCTGTAGTTCTTTGTTCTTCTTCATCCAATTTAGAAACACTTGCAACCTTCTCTTCAACTTTTTCTTGAATTGCAGGAGCCTTGTACTTGTAGTCCTCCTCTGATTCGCAACTTCTGGTGGATCTTGCATCTTCTTCGTCATATGTGAACGTTGAGGAATGAGAGTATCCATGTGTGGAAGAATCATATAGCGAGCGAGAACCAAAAGTTGAAGCACTGTAGGCACTATATACTGACATATCACCATCATCATCAAGAAATTTATCCATGTGCTTCATGTTGAATCTTTTTTGTTCTCTAGCTTTCACGAAAAGAAAAATAGGAATGGAAGCTAGTACTGCTGCCATAGTTACCATCATGGCGAACCATAGGATTTCTTCAAAGTTATATTCTGCGATGGTTTTACCTTCAAACTCGGCTCTGAGTTGCTGTTCCATCATCTTGTAGTCAAATTGATCATCGTCCATGTCAGGATAATAATCAGAAATATTGTACCCTCTGCCATGATATTGCACATGAGGTGCTTTTGTAGGAGCATCCGTTCCATTTGTTGGCGAATATGTTGGAGCAACGGTAGGATATGAGGTTGTAGGTGGCGAGGTTGTAGATGATGACCAGTAGCTTGAGTAACCCAGTTCTCGACTTTTAGCTGAAGATGCTTCTGCCGAGGAAAATACGAGACAGGAAAGGAGGAAAAGTTTACAGAATTGCAACATGTTTAAAATGTCTTTCTTGAATGCTTTATTGAATGATTTCGAAGATAAAGATTAGAGTTGAGGAGTATATTTCACATATATGCTGTCTATGCAAATAATATAAACATTCCTAAAGTGTGTGAAAGAAGAAAATCTTTTGGCGATGATTTCCCGTCCTGCATCGGATCTTGATCGGACCAAGACTAAATGTGCCATGCAACGATTGGAATGGGAATGGACATACCCGTCATTTACCTGTTTTCATCTTCACATTTCATTGCAGTCAAATCATATCATAATAATATCTATGTAGCAATATTTATATGCAATTTTCTTCATATATATATATATATATATGTATTCATATGTATGTGTAAGAAATTTGATCCGCTATGATCGATCTTATCTCTGTGGTGCAATTACGGATGACAGCATAAACTAAAAATATGAACATAGCGAAGAATAAAAGCAGCTTACACTAAATTTAGATTCTTCTCTACATTTATACATCTTTGAAGTTTGAAGAGATATTGGAATTGTTATAAAATGAAACATTTCTTTTTTGTTTATAACAACATATCAATTCATCGTGGAACAGGTTGATAATGTCGACTCTCACACACTGGACGACATTTAGAAAATACAGGTAGATAGAGATACACTCTACTCAAAGGTATCTTCTACTCAAAGGTATCCTCTGACTGAGAACCCTCAAGTCCAGGAGCAATATAATCTCCTTCACCATCGCTTGTTTCTCCTCCATCAGTGCTATATTCACCATCTGTAGATTCATCATCAATCAATTTATCGTTTGTTATTTCAGGATCTCTTCGTTGCATCAAAGTAAAGACACCAATAGAAAGAACCACTCCAGCGCCAGTAATGAGCGAAACAAACCAAAGCCAATCACTTCCAGTCCAGAATGACATGTTCTTCAAGGATAATTCGTATTTGAGTTCTTCCTCCATCTCTGCGTAATCAGCTATGGTATCATCATGGTAGTAATCTGAGATGTTGTAGTTTCTTCCATGATATTGAACATGTGGAGCTTTGGTAGGGGACAGCGTGGGACTTATGGTTGGCGAAACTGTAGGGCTGAACCACCATTTGGCAAGTTCACGCTCTGTATTTTCTACTTCATCAATGAGAGATGATGAACGATCACCAACACGAGCTTCGGTGATTACCATTAGGATAGAGGTCAATAGGAAGTGTTGAATCTGCATATTTTCTTTCTTATGTATGAATAATATTGTAATTGATTATGAATGAGAATGGTTATAAAGATGCTAATGAGTTTCATTCATACTCCACAGTGAATGAAAAAGTTTGGCGATGGATTTTCGATGCGCGATGTCACCTGTCAAAACAAACAGAACTTTCTAGCACGACTGGCTCAGGTGAAGATGAACAATGACGAATCTATATGATTACCATCATGCGTACGTCGATGATCAACAATCGAGTACCATAGATTACCAATCACTCATCGTTCATGGTCATCACATATTCACTACTTCCCTTTAGTAGATTGAAAATACTATCTCTTTAAATTTGCAATTAAGTCTTGGGGGAGAAGTTTGTACTGTGAGAAGAAATTTACGAAACTATTTATTTATTGGAGCAGAATGAGAAGAAGGAATAGCCGAGGAGTGTCGATACTATTCATGATACAGCAGGTTCTTCTATACCTTTGTGTATGTATATCTTTGCTTTCTTTATTCGGTTGTAACAACTCCATGTATGTCAATGGATTCATGTTGGTAGCAAAAAGTATTCATCCTGGACAAACTCATGCAAAGATGAGTGAAAAGAAGAGTACTTCACTACAGAGTGAAAGATCCTCCATCGAGCAAGAGATGAAGCAGTCGCCATGGTCAAAAGAATTCCAAGAGAAATTATCCAATAGAGAAAATGGGACAGTACCAGAGTATGCATATCTATGCATCATTACCGAAACAAATGCATGTGATTCAGATGAAACTGTTCAACAAACAATTGACACACTGAAAGCAGCACTTGGAACACACAACGAACAAGGGATAGATCTAATCTCGATACGAGTCTCTATACCCTATGCATCTACAGATAGTAAAGAAAGATTGATCAAACTAGCAACATCACTTATGAACATGAAAAAAGAGCTACAATCGCATCCTCAATACAATGACTACAAAATTGTAATGAATGATATTCAATACCTTGATTGCGCAATGAAGGCAAATGTAGATGGAATACATGTAAAGGAGAAAGATGTAGGTGAAATCCCGAAAGTAAGGTTTACGCTTCAAAACTATAGAAAAAATATATCTCCACAAGAGCCTATAGTGGTGGGAACTTCAGCACATTCTGTTTCATCAGCAATATCAACTTGTGAAAAGTATAGTTTAGATTACATGTTTGTAGGAACTTGCTACATGACTCAATCTCATCCAGAAAAGAGTCAGGATGACTTAGAAGGACCTTCATTGCCCGGGTTGGTGAAGAAGGAAGTCGCTTGTATGGTAAAATCGAAAGAGGAAGAGTATTCTTCATCAGTATCAGTACCTATAATCTTCGCAATTGGAGGAATAGAAAAGGATAATTGCCAAGAACCTGTTTTATTTGGTGCGGATGGTGTTGCTGCAATACGGTCTGTGATGCAGTCATCTGATCCAAATCAATCAGTTCAAGATTTGAAGAGTGCAATGATGGCGAGGGAATAGTTTTAAAATGTTCTGGTCAATTCTTTCATCAAGATAAACACGTAGATTTCATCATTTCAATTATGGAAGAAGTCATTTGAATCCTATATATATATTTAATGTTTTGTCAATATATTGACTTTTCAAAACATAACGACACCCGGAGAACCAGACCTGTTTTTAAATACTCTCATTTAATCATAATTGAAATTTATGTGTAATAAAAATAAAGTATGTATTTTAGTTCCTTACTTATGCATGTAGGATCCAATCCAGTTTACGTCAAAATCATTGGAATCTAAATACCATTTCAGATCCCAAAATGGTGGTTTCAAGATCATACCTTTCTTATCAACTTCCTCCATACCAAAGTTCTGAACCAATTGATTCACCTCCTTTGGACTCAGAAATTGCCTCCAATCATGGGTCCCTATAGGCAATTTCTGTGTCAAATACTCTCCTCCTACAATTGCCACTGCGTAACTTTTAGCAGTACGATTAATAGTTGATACAAACAACAATCCACCGGGATGTGTATCGGTCGGCTGTTTCAACAAAGAAGTTGCACCCTGCATCAAACTTTTTGGATCAGTAGCATGTTCAATCACTTCCAAAACGCATACGATATCAAATGAATGTCTATATTCTTCCATATTTGCCAATTCTTCAACACTCATACCTCCCTTATAATCAATATCTT